CCCCAAAACCCCAAAACCCCAAAACCCCTTACTATATTATAATTTATAATAATAAAATGTCAAGGAATATTCCACGAAACAAGAAGAAGTCTTATGGGAATGACGATGTTGACGAAGTGCACAGCACAGAGAAAGAGTTCATGAAGGGAGACCCTACCTTAAGAAGTGACCATTCCTCTGTAGAAGGTGGCAGTAAGTTTACAGTTTTATACGACCAAAGTGCTTAAATTTGTGCATTTTAATATACCTTCTATAGTACTCCTGAAGAAATCCGATTCTAATGTGAACACCAACAGTGGTTTTGGAAGTAGTGGGAATGATGATAAAAGTTTGACATCCAAAAGGAAAGCACCGTCAACAAGTAAGTTTAATCGCCTGCCCTTCCTCAGGCTAAATTCTAACAAGAGGAGAAGCTGGATAGCTAGAACTTAGCTGATAGACTATAATTTTGTTCACCTTAATGGCTAGTATTTCTTCTATTTTTCGATTCAGTTCAATATCTGCGCTATTATTTAAAAATGCAGGATGATTTGCTAATGATTCTCTCTAATTCTATATTTGTGTTGCAGACGATAAGTTTGCTTTGCATATATTTATTTTCTCATAAATGATCTGTTCCTTCCTTATTGCACTGCTAAATCTCTAGTAAACTAATAAAGTATTCATCTAAGGCTCTTTTTATGCTTGAGAGTGAATTTTTTAATCTGTATTATTGTACCCATCTGCCAGTAACTATACTTGTTATAAATTGTTTTGGTATTGCTAGCTGAAGTCTTAGTCCATCCACGATAGAGCTCGCCTTTTCAATTATTTCTAAATCAAATTGTAAAAGCTTCCATTATGAGCTTGGATCATATTGTGCCTCAAGGAAGAACCCGTTAACTGATTCTTTAACTTTTTAGATGTAGTACTCTTATAATTTTAGCAATTATGTAGTTTAGATAGATCTATTTCTAGAAATCAGCATCTAAAGTGTATTACTTTAGAGTAAACTCTCGAATAGTTCTTCATAAAATTGGCAATTCGACTGAAAATCTTTGAAGAATATACTGGCTTAGATAAATAACCTATGGTTGGAAAATCGGCCTTGTGGATCTAAACTCCCAAATGTAGTCCTGAAAACACGGAGTAACCGTTATTTTAGAATCAAAAACAGTGGCTATCATTGAGAAGCTGAATAAGAAGAAAGAGACTGAGAAGGGCGCTTACTCGAAAAATTCCATATTTGGAGCCCGAATGAAGCAAGCAGGTAAGATTTTCTGCTCAGATTTAGACAGAGAGGAGTTCGATGATCTTGGAGATATCCCTGATCACGGAGGTGCCTCCGGGAGAGACAAATCTGGCAAATTTGAAGACGAGAGTCATAGGAACCGTAAGGATCATGGGCTTATCTCTTTTAGCTGGCAACCAAGATCAGGAATCTATTGATAAGTTCTTAAAGATGAGAGCTCTTAAGAAACTTCAGCATACTAAAAAGGTACTAGTTTGTGGTTGATTCGTTAGGAATTAAGAATTAAAGGCATTATAAAGAGCAACAAAACTGCACCAAAGAGATCGAAGATGATAAGAAAGTCGAAGAAAGATGAAGCTGGGGACAATGGCTTAGTTGAGGAGACTAAGCATCCAGATGTAACTGTCAATAATCTCATGAACATGGAGACTATCCCTGCTATGAATGAAGATAAAGAGGATGATCAGGTAGTTATCCAGGAAACTAATAAGAAGTGGATGTTTAGGTATAGTGACCCTATCCTAAACCAGTGGGACACTTTTATTATTGTCATTGCTATTTACAACTGCTTCACTTTGTCTTTTAACATAGGATTTGACCCGAGTTTCGCTAAGCATCCAGCGTACATAACTCTAGATGTAATCTTGATCATAATTTATATTCTGGATATTTTACAGAGCTATATTACAACTTATTTGGACAAAGACGGAGAAGAGGTTTGGGATAGGAAGAAAATCGCTAAGAACTACATCTACAGTGGTAAGTTTGGCATCGATGTTCTCTCGACCATCCCCTTCGATTATTTTGGAGGTCCAGAACTACTAGCTATGCTTGGACTTCTAAAATTGACCAGACTTAGCAGAATCAGTGTGATTATTTCAAGACTAAATGTTAATGAGCAGCTTAAAGCATTGATCAAAATGGCACAGTTGACTTTCTACCTCTTTGTGGTCATTCACATTGTTGGGTGAATTTGGTTCTGGCTGGTCAAGCAGAACGACGAATGGATTCCTCCACATGATTTTATTGTACTACCTCCTGGCACAGATCTTTACAACAAGTCAATTACTTACCATTACTGGAGTGCGATTTACAACGCAATCATCATGCTTGCAAGTAACGAGCTGGGTCCGAGGACCCCAGCAGAGTATCTTTTCGTATCTGTTATGATGATTGTTGGAGCTTTGATCATGGCTAATATTTTTGGAGAGATGGCTGTGCTCGCACAGGTCATGACTAAAAAGCAAGTCAAATTCCAGGAGCAAATTGATACAGCGAATACAGCAATGAAGAACTTGGTAATTGGTCCTGAGGTACAACAAGAAGTTAGGAATTACTTTTTGTTTACACAAGTTACACTTGATGAGCAGCAAGAATTGGAGAAATTTCTAGAGCTCCTCTCCCCTTCGTTGAAGCTAGAAGTAACCATCCACATTTTTGCAAAGTTGATGAAGAAGAAGCTCTTCAGCAATCAACACTCAAAGGTAGACCAGACCATTCGAATGTTGGTCAGCAAATTAGAAACCGTCTTGAGTGTCCCTGAGGCAATTTTCAGACAAGATGACGACTCAAATGATATGTACTTCATAGCTAAAGGCGAATGCGAGGTCAGTGTGAGAGATTACAAAAGAAGGGACCATGAGAAAATCAGAACCCTCAGGCCAGGAGATCATTTCGGAGAAATCTCTTTAATCTATGGCTGTCGGAGAACTGCTACAGTAACTTCGAGGAACTATTCAACATTGGGTAAAATCTCTAAGGAAGTCTTCCTCCAAATCCAGTCAGATAACCCTGGGTTTATAAAACATCTGAAGAAGTACATGAATGAGTATAATGACCCTAATCAGAAGTTTATCTCTGCAGCTATGAGGAAGGTAGAGTTTTGTAAAGGGATCAGTGACATTGCATTCGTTGAGATCATGCATAATTTTGAGAAGACGAACTATAAGACTGGATACCAGCTTTTCAAGGAAGATCAAAATATTGACAGTTTCAGTATTGTATACGAAGGGATAGTTGAGTTCTACACTTACTTTGAGAGAGGAGAGTTCATTCTTGAGAGGCTCTATCCTGGGTCCCTTTACAACTTCAGAACTTTCTTTATGGAGGATCTTATGTATGTGAACGCTCGGTGAGAGACGAACGTCACTCTATTGCAGATCACTAACTCCAAGATGCAGGAAATCATGGAGAACCATGATGATGTTAAGAGAAAGATGCTCTCCTACCAGAACCAGATACTTAAGTATGGGATTAGTTTCCCACTAGACTATCTTGTAAACATTCCTAAAGAGTTTAGAAAGGATAAAATCTTCTCAGAGGCGGCTCTCAAGAGAGATAATGCCTTTAAGAATGCTATTATGAGAAGAATCATTGAGATCCGGATAGAAAAACAGAAACCTAAACTTAGCGACCTTCTAAAGATGTTCGAGGGAAAAGATTTGTCAAATCCAAAGGATAAAGAAGCTCTCAGGAAGAAACTATATGATCTTTATGAAGGAGGCGATGCTAAAGATAAAAATTCGAAGTACCACATCCTTATTACTTATTTTGAGAGGATTAATAAAGTTCTCAGTTATCAGCAAGCTGCATTTAACAAGATTGATAGGAGGATCACCAAGCTTCAGAATGATATTACGAGGACCAAGAATAAGTAATCTAGGCAGTTTAAATCTTGATAATTATATTACCAATATTATGACTGTGAAATGGGGTTTTGGGGTTTTGGGGTTTTGGGGTTTTGGGG